GAATGTAAGCCATTGGCTTGTGGGGGAAGCCCAAAACAGCTTGACCACACAGCTTCCATGACAGGCTTAGGGGCCCAGACACAGCTTCTGTGACAAGCTTACGGGCAGGCAAGACTCAGATCCAGGAAAAGCCATAAGCTGGCGCCACTCAGGGAGGGTCAGCATCTAAGGGGAAACACCTGACATCCCAAACATTCACAGCACACGTCTATACCCCTAGACAAATGTCAGCCAATCAAGGTCCTGAATCCTGGAAATCCCCTCACCCCAACCTCTGCTATGATAAAAACCCCATCCTGCCTGGGCTCAGGGCTCTCTGCTCTCACTCCTGTGTTGGACAGACAGAGAGACCAAACTCCAACCTTAAAATAAAGGTTCTTTGCTTTTACATGTGAGATTCAGTCTCCGTGGTGATCTTTTGGGGGTCCCTGAGATCTGGGCACAACAGCTTGCACAGTTAGGCCAGAATTTAAGCAAGAATAGTTAGCAGTCTCAAAAACTCATCTTGGTAAGTCCCTAAAGGTTAGATGACTCCTCTGTCACTCTCTAGACTTCCTCATTTCATCCTGTATCATGTAAACAAAAACAAGACAGAACAGTGCCACTCTGGAGAACCATGACACAAAGATCTTAGAGAGGAACAAAGAATGCAGCTATCAGGAAGGGCAGGCTTCTGGAAGTGTCCCAGTCCAGGAAAACTTCAAGAGTCATATGACCCAGGCTTAATTCAATGGGTCTGTGATAGAGCTAGGCAAAGATGTGTTGAAAAGCAACGTAGATAATTCTATGGACTTCATCCTGTCACTAACCAATGAACCATCTGGTTACTTTCGGGCGCGGACCACATGGTGACCATTGCTGCTGCTTGATAAAGTTCCAGCATTTCGACTTTGCGGCTCACAAATCTCCAGCACCCTTTCACTTTGCCTTTTAATGATTCTCGATATGTGTTATGGGAGTTCCCTTACGCCTTTCCTTTTGGGAAATTTCATGGGGGCTTTGAAGGACGAAAATGTATAAAATAGCAGCCTCTATAAACAAAATAATTCTTTAGAAAAAATTCCCACCACCATGGAACCATATAGTGTGATAACTCTGCCTACTCACATACAAGTTAACACCAAGATGCTAGAAATTTTAAATGGATAACGTATGCTTGATAAATAAGGTATATTTGATAATCAAAATTTATAAATTCCTAAGGTCTACTCAGGTTCACCGTCATATTTGTCTAGCCTTGTCTTTGCTCACTTTAAGCTTTAGCTATTTGGATAAACTAAGTTATAAAAGAAACTGAGCCAAGCCGGGCAGTGTTGGCACACACCTTTAACCCCAGCACTCAGGAGGCAGAGCCAGGCAGATCTCTGTGAGTTTGACGCCAGCCTGGTCTATAGAGTGAAATCCAGGACAGGCACCAAAACTACATAGAGAAACCCTGTCTCAAAAAACCAAAAAAAAAAAAAAAGAAAGAAAAGAAAAGGAAAAAGAAAAAAGAAAGAAACTGAGACCTTCCTACTTCTGGCAGAAGGAACTCATGGCCCTTTCATTAACATATGACTGATGTCTATTAACCTGTCAAGATCAATGCTAACTTCCTCAACCCCTGATCACAAGCCACACCCCAGCTCACAGCTCCCTTTCTCCCATTTAATCCTGTGTACAACTATAGAAGATAAAAGGCGTATTCTTTTTTCAATAAGCACACTGGCAGCCATCCTGATTCACCCTCAGATCCTATCTGTCTACCCCCGCCCCCACTCCATGCTGACTCTACACATCATCTTTGGGACCCGAATCCCATGGAAGCAGGTCTCCAGCAATTTTCAGCCATTCAGACAGCCCAGCAATACCCAACACGTGCCCCAAAGGGACCAGGCTGGGCAATAATCCATGCCAATGAAAGAGATCCTGGGCTCCATCTCTTCGAGGACCAGCCTGGAGAACAGGTCACATCCACTTACTTTTTAATGTTTATTCAGTACGTCCTCCACTTAGACCAGAGAAAGGCCTTTGGGGAAGCTGGCAGACAGGTGGCATCCCTTCCTGACCCACACTACTTGTCACAGGGCTCTGCACACAGTTGGAACTCAGTCCCTGTTTCAGGGTCCACTGCAGGATAGGTATCAGGACATGTGATGGTTAGGGCCAAGGCTGGCTGTGCCTAGTCTTGCTCACGTACCTTGAGAGGCATCTGGTTTCCCTTCTCTATCCGGCTGCTCTGCAGGCTCAGCCCCTTCTCTTTCCGCCTCTTTTTCATCAGTTCCCGCTGCTCCTTCTGCTTGTTCTGAACTTCAATGAGCACCGTGATGAAGGAGTTCTTCACTTCCTTCTCAAACTCCAGCTCATCTCTGCGGGCCAGCTGGTGGACCAGCTCCTCTGAGAAGTCACGGATGGCACCTTCCACCTGGTCCAGCAGCTCTGCCAGCTCAGACCCAGACATGTGTCTCAACCCTAGAGAGGAAGATGGCTTTGGTAGGTGATATCTACAGACCGGCATGAACCTGCTGGAGATGGGACCATTCTTAGAGGAGGTCCCTCCAACTTAGAGTTTCTCTGAAAAACCATCACTATTTAGGGAAAAGGCCAGGAAGAAAGGGGCATTATATCATGTATAGAAGAGAAAAACCCAACTCAAAAAGCAGAGGAGAAAGAAATAAGTGTCCACAAGGAAGCATGAGAACTCTGTGTCCAGTGAAGGACATGACTGGCCAACTTTGATACCTTACTCTGTCTTTCTATCTGTCCTCTGTCTTTGTCATATTCACATAGAATAGGTTGACAGAGGAAATACTGAGGCTTTGGTATCGGGGACGAGCACTGATGTAAGAGGTAGTGTTTTCTCTCAAGGAGTCCTGGAGACAGCTATGGTCAAAATGATGAACATGACCTGAGGGTGTATGGTCCTACAGCTCAGTCTGTACTGTAAACTGTGGGAGACCCAGGGAAGACAGGGAGAGGGGAGTGAAAAATGAAGCCTTACCCATCAGCAGGCTACTTCCAGAGACAAAGGAAAGGGACTGGAGATTACAGACACGGATACTTTTAACATCTGGGCTCTTAAGGCTATGTGATTATAATATCTTCAGATCACTGCCATGACAACTTCAAAAAGGGTAGGAGAGCCAGGCATGGTGGCACATCCCTTTAATCCCAGCACTTGAGTGGAAGAGGCAGGTCGATCTCTGTGAGTTCAAAGATAGCCTGGCTCACATAGAGAGTTCCAGGACAGCAGCCAGATCTACATAGTGAGTCACTGCCTAATAAATAATAAACAAACAAACAAAATCTGGCTTACATAGAGAGCTCCAGGACAGCAGCCACATTACATAGTGAGTCACTGTCTAAAAAAAAATAAAATAAACAAACAAATAAATAAATAAAGCAGTAGAGAAGTTTTGTTTTGTTTTGTTTAAAGTGTATGAGTGTTTTACCTGCATGTATGTGTGTGCACCTTGTATGTAACTAGTACCCACAGAGGCCAGAAGAGGGCATCTGATCCCCTAGAACTGGAGTTACTGGTGGTTGTTAGCCAGCCATGTGGGTGCTGGGGAATTGAATTTGGGTCCTTTGCAAGAACAGTCAGTGCTCTTAACTGCCAAGCCATCTCTCCAGCCCTTGCTGCTTTGGTTTTTTGAGAAAAGGACTCAATATGTAGCCAAGGATAGCCTCTAGCCCTCACTCCTCCTGCCTCAGCCTCCTGAATGCTGGGTATTGCAGGTATGTGCTACCACGAGCAGTGAGCAGAAAGGATTTTAAATCTTCCCGACCCAGGGCTGAGGACAGAGTTGGTGGCAGAACATTTGCTTAGCATGGGAGAAGTGTAGTAGACTATTATAAGGTGTGTTACTTCTGTTTATGTTGCATTTGTTTAACTCTGTGAAGCTGTGTTACTGTGCCTGTCTAAAACACCTGGTGGTTTAATAAAGAAACGGCCCAATAGCGAGGCAGGAGAAAGGAAAGGTGGGGCTGGCAGGCAGAAAGGATAAATAGAAGGAGAAATTTGGGAAGAGAGATCTAAGCTTGAGGAGCCAGAGAAGGAGGAGGACTCCAGGGGCCAGCCACCCAGCTACACAGCAAGCCACAGAGTAAGAATAAGATTCTTACTTAAAAGTAAGAGAACGGTAGCCGGGCGTTGGTGGCGCACGCCTTTAATCCCAGCACTCGGGAGGCAGAGCCAGGCGGATCTCTGTGAGTTCGAGGCCAGCCTGGGCTACCAAGTGAGCTCCAGGAAAGGCGCAAAGCTACACAGAGAAACCCTGTCTCAAAAAACCAAAAAAAAAAAAAAAGTAAGAGAACGGGAAAAGCCCAGAGGCTAAAGGTAGATGGGATAACTTATAGTTAAGGAAAGCTGGGTAGAAACTAAGCCAAGCTTAGTTACCTGGATATATGTAATTAACGTTGTACACAATGTATTGAAAAGTTTCAAATGACACTGTACCCCATATGCACATAAATTTGCCCTATGCCAATCGGGCATATTAGTAAACTAGATATACTAGATTTAAGGAACACTTTTTGTGTCCTCAGTGCCCACCTTCCCTTCTCATTTCTGCCTGGGTGTCTGCTCGCTCAGTTGGCTCTTCCTGCTCTGTTTTGTTCTTCAAGCTCTCCTCCTCCTCCTGCTGCTTTTTGCCATTTCACTCTGCTTTGCTGAGCGCTTCTATGTTTGGGCCCTTTGTGTGGCTGAGAATGGCCTGACCGGGCGGGTGGTGAACGCGGCCAGGCATCCAAACCCACTCCGTCCATGTCCGTCACCCTATGGCTTCCTGCAGTGGCCCCGCCCTGCCTGCCCCATCTCCCCGGGGCCAGGCAGTTTGGCTTTCGGGATGTGGTGCCTGATTTTTGTCTCAATTTCTGCCACCTCCACCTGAAATTTAGACCTAGATTCCCTGAAGAACCTGAAAGAGAAGGTCGTGCCTTCTCTTTCGCCCCCACCCTCATTCACAATAACCTCGCTGCAAGAGCAGGCCTCCTCCTGCAGTGCGGGGGCGGACACACAGTTACCGCTAAGAGCACTGCTCATCCTGTACTACGTTTCATTTCACGCTTCATCCAGCCCGCTCTTTGTAGAGTCATTACAATAAATCTGTGTTGGAGAAGTAATGTGAGACCGGCACTAAAAGACTGGACTCCGGAGTTCATCTCCCTGGTTTCAAGTGCTGTCTGCACTGTCCCTTCTAATGCATAGCAGGTGTGGGGAAAGGTGTACACGGGAACTTCTCTCTCCCCACTGAAAGAAAGGAAGCGTGCTCAGTGAGAGTGCATGCACGAGGCCCTGGGTTCAATTCACACACACACACACACACACACACACACACACACACACACACACACAAAATCAGTGGTTAACCAAGCCTCCTCCTCCCATCCCCACAGTTCAGGAAGGCTTCCTTCAGGGGTTGAGAGCCACTGCTTTGAAATGTTATCATAAGGAAGATAAGACCTAATCTCCCACTGTTCTAGAAGCACAGGGCCTAACTCAGCCACCTGACTCCAAATTGCAACACCTGCTTCAGGTAATGGGTTCCATTCACTTAGTCATAACAAGAGTACAATCTCCTTCAGTTTTTGCTGTCCTGTGGAGGACTGCTGGGAATATGCAACCTGTTCTCATTTAATGCTTACTCAGTAATAAAATCCCCCCCCCAACCGTACTTTTGTGGGAAGGATTTTCTGAGTGGCAAGGAGCTTTTGTTTCTAATTCCAACTGTGGAATTGGACAAGCCACTTAACCTCCAAACGATAGCTCAATCTTGAGAGGCATGGTGTAAAGTTGGTTTGAGGAGAACACTAAGACTGCTAGCTCCTATTCTTTCTCCCTCTGTCTCTGTCTCTGTCTGTCTCTGTTTCTCTGCCTCTCTCTCTCTCTCTCTCTCTCTCTCTCTCTCT